CATTATTGTATTATATTTACTATTTTATAAAATTGTTAAATGTTTCACTCTTTTTAGATGACTTTGCTCGTCTCGAATTTATTTAATTTAAAATAATAAAGATATTATGTCGCGTGTGTGCTTAAAAATCAAATATTTGTGTCATATACTTACTAATTATGTTGCAAAAGTATAGTTTGATTGCTGAATTTAATTTCTTTGTTACATCACCGTCACAGACTCGTCTTTGTCATCGTATATGACCTATATATGTATAATGGTATGGCACACTTTGTCGCTGCTTTCTCAACTGTAACAAGAAGACATTGGTTTACGAAATTATAGAATCATAGCGGTCATAAGAGTCAGTAGTAATACATAAACATAATTTCGTGAAATCGTTGACGTTTTGAACAATCCAATGTAAATTTGAAATGTATTCTTTATTTTAAAAAAGAAATTGGTTTGAAGTCGACAATTTATAATAAGCTTTGTGTGAATGTGTAATATAACGCGACGTTATTGAAAGATTAAGATGATATACTATTATATATATACATATTTAATTATTAATCTATATTTTCTTATTAATTCAAGCTTCTTGCTAATTTTGTTTATTTTTAATATGGACACGGAGAGAATAATTTTACTGAAGGATTTAGAAAGTTAACTGAATACACATCTGAGAATAAATTTGTTAGACTATTAAAATAATTTTGTAGGACGGTCAAGTTGATTGTTAGTAATTTTTGCTGCATTATTTTTGACTTTCCACATAAAAATTTTGCAGATGTAACGAAAGAGAGATTAGACTTTCTGTATTCAGCAAAAGTCTGTTTGTATACCATACAGTTGGAATCAGTTAATGCATTTGAGCTGGATTTAAACTTTCATTGAAAAAGAATTTTTTATTTGACTCTTAATTTAGTCCTTATCTCTTTATTCGGGCTATGTATATGTTTTAACATGTTCTTTGTGACTTAAGTACATACATTTTTTATTAAGAGAAATAAAAATCTGAAAGAATTTAGTCGACTAAACAATTATTTTCAGTGCAACATGAGTTGTATTATTAAAATAATAAATTTTACACGGTGCAATTGAGCACAAATGAGGTTCTTTTTCGGGGTAAATAAGTACGTCATGTGTGAGTTGTAATTTAAAAACTTGTATATAGAGATATTTTTGGTCGTTTTAAGTAGATTATCTTTACAATTTTGTA